TCGGGCCCGGCGGGGCTCGGGGACTTGGCCCTGGGGCGAGGGAGGGACCGGGAGCGCGGGGGCGCCCGGGACCCCGCAGCTCGGCGGTGCTGCGCTTTCGGTGGCAGCGCCACGGAGAGGACGTGCAAAACCGGCACGGCGCCCGTGGGGTACTTGGGGGGTCCCCGGGAAAGGGTCTGACCCCCGGGCTTGCAGACTGAATTCGGCGGGGCGCTGCAGACACAGCTGCGGGACACCCCGGAGAGGAGGGAGGCGGGCGCCGCTGCCGGCTCCCGGAGGAAGTGGGGGCCAGACAGGCCCGGGCTGGGTCCGCTCGCCCTGGGGAGGGCTGGGGTTCACCACGGCCGCCCTGCGGGTTCTCGACATTAACGCACGGGTTCTCGACATTAACGCACGCGTGGTGGAGGGATCCCTGGCTCCGTCTCCCTTAGAGAAACTGCACCACCGAACAGGTCGGGTTTGTGATAAGCCCTGCTTGCCCCTTTTCCTGCTCTCTCCTCTCCTTTGCTTTTGCTTCCGGTCCTGTAAACTGAAGCCAGGGCTTTGCGCACACCAGGCAAGTGCTCTGCCACTCAGCTACACCCCAAGCGCCCCCTCTTCTTTTTAATTCTGAGATAAGGTCTCTCTAAGTTACCCAGGCTGGCCTTGAACTTGGGGTCCTCCTGCCTCGGCCTTTCTTGGAGCACCGGCTGTCCTCCTAGTGCTAACCCTTCCTCTCCATCAGCCAGGAGGAGGGCGTGCGCCCAGGAGAGGCTGAATGTAAACCACACACCGCCCTCGGAGCTGCAGGCCGGGGTCGCCCTGACAGCGCCACACAGCTCTGCCAGGCTCGCGCCAGGCCACAGACATCTCCAGGCCCCTCCTGTCCCTGTCCCTGGCAAGTGACCCTGTACTGTCCCGGGGACGGAGCCCTCGCTCTCGCGTACAGTTCCTAGGTCTCGAGTGCCCGGATGCTCTCGGTAACCAGGTCGCAAGGTTGGAGAGCTTGGGCCGCCCTGGGAGACAGTGCGGACCATATAGGTGTGCGGTGGCTCCTTTGGGGTTGCAACTGTTCCCCTTTTCCCTCTGCGGAAGGAAGACCCCTCTGTGCCTGCCTTCTGGGGGCGGGCATGGGATGGGGGCTCCTGTGGGACCCACGGCCCTGGGCTGTGGTCCATCCATCTGTCCCATCTGTTTGTCCATCCTTCCACCCGTCCGTCCTTCCTTCCAGTGCTGGAATGAAATCTGGGCGCTATGCAAGTGCTCACCACTCAGCAGCGCCTCCAGCCCTGGGATCAGCAGTTTTTAAAGTGCCTGAGCAAAGACCGGCTGGGTGAGGCACACCTGTATTTCCAGCACCCTAGGAGGCTGAAGCAGGAGGATCGCACGTTTGAGCCCAGCCTGGGCTAACTGGCTTAGTGAGATTGTCTCAAAATGAGAAATCAAAAGGGCTGGAGATGTGGCTCAGTGCAGAGGCCCCCCTTTGATCCCCAGTACTAAAAAAAAAAATCAGAGTGGAATGCTGGATTGAGTTGTAATTGGAGAAGTCACTGGAGTGGACACAGGAAGTGACAGGAAGCCTGGGGACGGGGCAAGTGGACATCTCAGGTCAGGCTGCAGAGGACTTTCAGAGGACTCTGACCTCAGCCCATGAGTCACGGCACAGGGACGTACTGTACTGTTGCTTTCTCCGAGGCACCTGAAGGGTCCAGACAGCACGGAGGGCAGTGGCATGGCCTCAACGAGGAGGGCAGATCCCCGTCCCACTTGGGTCCCCTCTGTGGCCTCCCCTTTCTGGGTCTCCTCATGTTTTTCCCTCAGCCAAGAAGCCTTCCAGGAGCTGGGCGTGGTGGCACACCCCTATAATCGCAGCACTCGGGAGGCTGAGGCAGGAGAGTCACTGTGAATTTCGAGGCCAGCTGGGCTACAAAGTGAGTGCAAGGCCAGCCTGAGCTGCCTAGTAAGAACCTTTTTAGGACCAGGCACACAGCAGTGACCAGGATGTGTTCACACGCAGGAGCTGGGCACGAAGACCTCAAGGGGTTCTGGATGGCCAGGCTCATAACATGTGAAGGTGATGGGCTGAAGGAGCCATTATCCCATTATTATTTCCCCCTCTCCCTTTGTTTTGTTTTGTTTTTTGTTTTGTTTTGAGGTAGGGTCTCACTGTGTAGCCCAGACTGGCTTCAAAGTCACAGTGATCCTCCTGCCTCAGCCTCCCCAGTGCTGGGATTATAAGTGTGGGCCACCACCATGCCCAGCTCCTTCCTGTGTTTCTAGACAAGGTATGGGCCAGCTTGCCCTTGAACTCCCTGTACACTATATCATACTGACTGGCCTCAAACTTGTGCTCCTCCTGCCTCAGCCTCCCAAGTGCTAGGATTATAGATGTGGGCTGCGCCGGCTGGCTGCTTTTTCTTTAGAGTGTAATCCACAGACAATAAAGTGCCCGGCCAGAGATGTTTCATTCTTTAGATTTGGTTCCTATGTTCTGGGGAGGAAAGATTTCTTTTCTCACATGTTTGCTAGGTTCACGGCTGAGACCCTTATAAGACAGATTACTGCAAAAAAAAAGAAAAGAAAAAACAGATTGACAAGAGAAATAAAACTATGAGTTAAAAAAAAACTAAATTTAAATTTTAAAAAAAACTGTGAGTTCTTTAAGCCAAGGTCTTGCTCTCTGGCACAGGCTGACCTTGAATTCCCGGGCTCCTGTAACCCTCCTGCCTCAGCTTCCCCAGTATCAGGCCATCATTCCCGGTGGGCATTACACAGCACATGCGCAGCTGGGGTCTGTGCGTGCTGAGCACGAGGCCCTCGGGCCTATCTGGCTGGTGGACGCCAGTGACTCAGAATAATCAGGAAGGAGCAAGGCCTGTTTGTCCCTGTTTTCCCTGTGTGCTCAGAGATAAGGACTTTTTCTCCCCAGGGCTTGGGGCAGGCGCCTCTGGGAGCCTAGGTCCCGGTATAGCTCTGTCCTCCCAGGGCCACACTTGGGGTGGCAGCCTGAAGCCCCAACTCCACTCCAGTGCGGTGGCGTCCCCGGGTTGCCTTTCCAGGGGAAACAAGGAGGCCCCTGGGTGCAGTGGCCCACACCTGTCATCCCAGCAGCAGAAGGCAGAGGCAGGAGAATCTCTGTGAGCTTGGGCTACAGTGAGACCCTGTGTGAAAGCAAGAAAGGCCCCTGAGACTGGGTTGCTCGTGAGGCTTGGGCAAAAGGGGGCAGGAAAAAGTGACTGTGGGCTCTGGGAGGGAGGGGGTTGGAAGGGGCCGCCAGAGAGCGGGGCCCATGGGCCTGGAGTGGAGGGAGAAGGAGGAGGTGACCAAGCCGGGACAACAGGCCACGGGCAGGACTCTGCCATCCACGCAGAGGGAGGTGAGAGCCACGGAGGGTTCTTGAGCAGAGGAGGGCCCTTCCTCCGGTGTGGTTGCCAGGAATCTGAGGGCTGTTGAGGACTGGACTCCAGGAATGGGGACTCTGCAGGGAGGAGACTGTGCTGGCCCTGAGCGAGCCTGGGGTCTGCGTGGCTCTGGCGGGGAGGCCCACAGGCAAACGGTGACAGCCGCAGACACTGCACCTTCTTGATGAGCCAGTGGCTTCTTTTGAATTTCCCGAGGTTGGTGCTGCTAAGGGGGACAGCGGGCGAGGGCCTGGGAGGAGCCACACAGGTGACAGACTAGAGTTCATTTTTTTTGGTTGAGTCAGTCTCCCTTTGTCGCCCAGGCTGGCCTCAAACTCCCAACGATCCTCCTGCCTCAGCCTCCTGAAAGCTGGGATGACAGGCAGGCACCTCCCTGCCTGGCTCTTGAGGTTGGAGTTGCCAGAAGGGTTTGAGGATGTGGCAGGAGGCCCCGGCAGCAAGCGACAGTATCTGGAGAAGGACCTTTCCCGACGCTTGGGTGCCTCGCGGATCTTCCGGGTGCTCTGTGCAGAGTGTTTGGGTCAGAGTGCACATTCTGACGTGCTGGCCAGGCTGTAATCCTGCTAGCTCTTGCTTAACAGCTGCAGCCAGGATTCCCCCGGGCGCAGGGGTAATTAGTGCCTTTTATTTTCAGGTGCGTCATGACCTAGAGCTCCCTCGTTATTTTGTCATTAGAGCCGTGCCGGTGAGAGTCAGAGGAACGGCATTGGCATGCAGGAAGGGAGCTGGGGTTGGAGGAGAGCCAAAGGGAGGACCCGTTGTAAACTGGCAGAAAAGACAAAGCCAGTGTGCGGTGGCACACCCATCACCACAGCACTCAGGAGGCTGAGGCAGGAGGATCGCTGCGAGCTTGAGGCCAGCCCGAACTCCACACTGAGACCCTGTCTCAAAAAAGAGTGGAGAAAAGTAGATCATGAACAGACTTAGAAAAGTGTCCTTGACTGGAGTGAGAAACCCTTGTCCACATAAGCCGTGTGGCTGAGGTAGGTGGGGCAGGATCACAGGCCTGTGCTGCAGCCTGTGCTCCCAGGAGGTGCCATAGCTCTGGGGGGCAGGGTGGCGATGCCAGGGCTGGGCAGGGCTTGTCGCAGTCTGCATGTGCAGAGCACAGCGTCCTGGGGCGGCAGTTCCGCGCTGAGCTGTGCCGTCACATGGTTCCGTTCACGTTCATTTTGCCACAGCGGGAAAGAGAGAGGAAGACTTGGGAGGCTGAGGCAGGAGGGGTGCAAGTTCACTGCCAACTGAGCAAGACCCTATCTCCCAAAAGTGAAAGCAGCCAGGCATGATGGCGCACGCCTGTCAGCACTCAGGAGGCTGAGGCAGGAGGACTGCTGCAAGTTCAAGACCAGCTTGGGCTACAAAGTAAGCTCAAGGCCAGCGTGGACTGTATAGTGAGACCCCGCCTCAAGAAGACAAAAATAATTTTTTTTTTTTTTGGTTTTTCTCCGGTACCGGGAATGTAACTCACGACCTTGCGCTTGCCAGGCAGGCGCTTTGCCGCTGAGCTAAATCCCCAGCCCCCAAAACTTAAAAAAATAAATAAAAGGGGTAGTGGAGCCAGAGTCTGAACCCAGGGTGGCAGAGGGGAGGGAGGGAGGCAGCCACCTTGGCCGAGCTCTGCTGAGTCCTCCGAGCCACCTGGTGACCTTGCTGGGAGCCTGCTGCGCAGGTGCCTGCGTCAGCTGTGACGCCCGGGCCGGTGTCAAGGGCTCTGGCTGTGACCTCGTCCCGCCCAAGGAGAAGCCCGTCAGAGCCCGTGGCCTCGGGTCTTGGCGGGGAGCTCACCAGACTCAGCCACAGCGCCGTCCTTTGCGTTCTTCACAGGCCCCACTCCTGTGTTCTGAATCGTGGCCGAATACACACAACACAGCGCCGTGGCCACGGCTGGTGCGGGTGCGGGGCGGTGGCAGCGCTTGTCCCCACAGGAACCCTGTCCCACTCCTGTCGTCCCGGGCGCTGGCCCTGCCACCCTGCCCGTCCCTGTCCTCTCACGGCTCCGGGACCTCCGGGGAGCAGGGTCACTGAGCAGAGCGCCAGCTCCTGCCACGGCAAGGGTCACAGGGCCTTGTTCTTCGGAGCTAGGTAATGTTGTGCCACAGTGTCCACCCACCCGTGAAAAACGCTGCCGTGACCACGGATGTCCAGTGTCTCTCCAGACCCAGCGCTGTGTTTCTGAGCACCTTTACCTCACCGGGAATGCTGGATTGCGTGATCATTCCGCTGTCTGGTTTTTTATTTCTCGGTGGTACGGGTGGACCCCGGGGGCCCCATGTGCGGGGCACGCACTCACCACTGAGGTGCGGCCGCAATGTCTGATTATTCTGAGGAACAGCCGACCGCTTCCCATGGAAATGGACATCGTTTTCCCACTTTCCTTTTATGAATTTGGCGGTCCTGGGGATGGAACCCAGGGCCCTTGTACTGAGCCACATCCTCAGCCCTATTAATTTTTTTTAAATTGTGAAACAGGGTCTTGCTAAGTCGTCCATGGGTTTGAACCTGTGATCCTCCTGCCTCAGCCTCCCACAGTGCCGGGATGACAGGTGTGCACTTTTGGCAGTGTGAATGCTGAATGGCTGTCAGAGGTGCTATGGAGGGAACAAGGACCAGGAAATACCTCCGGCTGTGGGTGACCGGCCCGGCCTGGCCGTGTGCCCCTGCAGCTTCTGTCTGCGCCGAGGAGCTGCCTCACCTGACTCGCTCAGGGCCGGAAGTGTTCGAGTCCTGTTTTGAGGCTTGAGGGTCTCTGCAGTACTTGCTCATCTGAGGACGGCACTCGGGTCTTTTGCATCCTGTGCCTGACCGAAGCCAGTAACAGAGTTGTCAGAGACTCACGCTGCCAGGTCCCCCCCGAGGGCCAAGTCTGGAGCATTTCAGGGTTCTACGGCAGCTGTGCAGGGCGACTGCGGGACGAGAGCTCAAAAACAGCCAACAGAGGAAGTTCTCTGCCGCTGCTCCAGGCATCCGCTAGCGTTTCTTCTCTCCTGGGGCCCCAGCCAGGGCTGCTCTCCCCCGAGCTGCACCCTAGCTCTTGTCCTCGGATGCAGGATCTCACCATGTAGCCCAGGCTGGTCTGAAACTCGAGATCCTCCTGCCTCAGCCTCCAGAGCTGGGGTCACGGGTGTACCTGCGCCTGGGCCAAGGGGGTGTGTGTGCCAATGCCCGGGGCATATGTGAAACGTGGGTGTGGCTGGGCCCTGGGGAGATGGGCTGGGGCAGCGCCGGGCTGAGGTGCCCGGAGCCGTGCGCACCGGCACCGCATGAGGTCCGGGTCCCTGGCCGCAGCAGCAGGAACAGGTGGCCGCGTGGGCCGGGCCGGTTGCAGCACCCGACGCTTGGGGGGGCAGGGAACAAGGTGGCGGCGCAGGGAGGGTGTTGTGGGCGGAGGGAGAGGGCTGGCGGCTGGCTTGGGCTGCAGGGCTGCGGACTGGAGCAGATGAGCAGCGGTGGACCGAGGTGCTTCCACGCACCTTCCGGGGCCAGTGCTCTGGGTGAAGGGCGTAGTCTTCCTGTCAGAGAAATGCGGCAACCACGGTGGGAACCGCAGCCACCGCTTCTGCTAAACACTGGTGTGGAACCAAGATGTGTCTTTTCGTTCGTCGCTAAGGTCTTCAGGCACAATGTCTTTGTGTGCAGTCCAGGCTGGTCTCATGACCCTCCCGCCTCAGCCTCTCAAGTGCTGGTTTCACAAGTATGCACTGTGCCTGGCTAAGAAATGGCTCTTATTTATTTACTTACTTATTTATTTTTAAATCTTTTTGAGACAAGGTCTCGCTATGCAGTTCTTCAGGCTGGTCTTGAACTCATTTTGTAGTCCAGGCTGGACTCAAACTCGAAATGATCCTCCTGCTTCAGCCTCCTTGGTACTGGGATTACAGGTGTGTGCTACCACACCCGGCTCTTTTTGAGACAGGCTCTCACTACGTAGCCCAGGCCAGCCTCAAAATTGCAGTGATCCTCCTGCTTCCTGAGTGTGTTCCCATCACACCCAGTTAAAGCAGATCTTGAGGCCAGGCAGGGTGGCACACTCCTGTCGTCTCAGCACTCAGGAGGCTGAGCCAGAAGGATCACTGTGAGCTCAAGGGCTGCCTGGGCTGCAAAGGGGGTTCAGGTCAGCCTGAACTACACAGCAAGACCCTTCTTCAAGACCAAAAAAAAAAGTGGATCTTGGCTGGGTGTGGGGGACACACTTGTGATCTCACACTGGGGAGGCAGAGACAAGGATCACTGCAAGTTCAAGGCCAGCCTGGACTACACAGTGAGTTCCAGGCCAGAGCCTGGACTACGAAGCAAGACCCCTTCTCAAAAACTGAAACTAATTAAAACAAAGTGTGTCTTAAAAGTGGACAAGTGACCAAGGCCTCACAAACGTGGGAAGCCAACTCTGCCCTCCCTGCAGTGCAGTCTGGGACACAGCATCTGCGGTGTCTACGGAACGTGGCAATCAGCCACCACGCCATGGCCGGGCCACTGCTGGCCCCTTGGGGGGCGTCCATGGGCATCTTGCCCTCGCACCCTGCAGTGGTCTGGCGACCTTCAGAGTGCGCTCGTCAGCACGGAGTTTTGAGAGCTGCTGGTGCTGTGGCTGTGGCGGTGGGGCCGCGGCAGAGGGCGAGGTCTGCTGCGGCTCCTGGGTGCAGAGGGCACAGTCCCTGGCCCGCTGCCTCCAGGCAGGAGCAGCTGGCAGCAGGGCCCGGCGGAGGGCAGCGGGGAGGCGGGGAGCGGAGGCAGGGTTTCTTGGGTGTGGGCTGCATTTCTTCCTGTGTTAGGCAGGTGTGTACCCGACTGCGCCTCCAGCCCCTTTGTCTTATCTTCTGTTTTAAGCTGGGGTCTCACTAAGCTGCCTGGGCAGGGATGAACTTGCGGTCCGCTCAGCTGCCTGCGGGGCGGGGACTGCAGGTGTGTGGGGGCCGTGCCCAGGGATCTCTGGGCTCCTGTGGAGGGGACCGGGGAGAGTGGTCCCGGCGGGCGGGCCATCCGTGGCAGCCAGTGAGGCCGCGGGTCCCAGCAACCCAGCCCGTCACGGGGTGACACTTCTGCTTCTGGTCGGTCAGCCGGGGCCCCAAGCCCACCCACACCCGGGGGAGGGCGGTCAGGAGTAGGGAGACAGAACCCAGCAGGACGGCCTGGCTTTCCAGGCTGCGCTGTGACGGAGACCTGGGCCCCTGCTCCCGTCGGGACTGTGGCGTGCCCCTCGAGACCCGAGCCGGAGCGGGCTGCGGCCCACCGTGCCCCTGCCCAGCACCCGAGCCCGTGTGTGTGTGTGTGTGTGTGCGTGCGCGGCAGGCAGACACAGGAGCGCGCTCGTTGCTGGTTTAATTTATTACTGCTTGACATCCAGTGACACTGACGTACCCGCCGGCCGAGCCGCGAGCCCGGCCCGCCCAGGAGGTATAGTCCGCGGGCAGGCGGCCGCACACATGCACCACGCTTCACTACAGTGACCAGGGCTGCGGCAGTGCTGCGGGTCGGGGCGCCGCCGTGGCCTGCTCTAGGCAGTTAATGCTCGGCCCACGCCACTGCCAGGCCGGGCCACACGTGGTCCTACAGTTCTGCCGCATAAATACGCAGTTCGCGTCTGCACAGCCCCAGGCCGCGCTGCGCCGGTGCCGCCCGGTACGCTGGGTCCGCCGACCTCAGCTGCAGGTGCGGGCTGCCGGCTCAGTCCTCCTCGCTCCCACTTCCTGAGCGGTCCTGGGGACAGGAGGGGCTGGCGTCACCACTGTCCCCCGGCCCCGCTCGCGCACCCCAGCCCTGGGCCGTAGGGCCCGCTGTCGCCCGTCCCTGCAACCCTCCTGGCCTTGGCTGCTCTGTAAGCAGCCCGGCAGGGTCACGCGCACCCTGCTGGGCCGGCGGGGGACAGAGGTGGCGCTGTGACAACCCCAACCCCAGGCCGCCTCTGCCACGCTCAGGGCTCAGGCCTTGCTAGGTCAGGCCGGTCCCCGGACTCGACTTTAGGAGCTGCGCTGGGGGCCCTGAGCTGACCAGGCTTCCGGGGACCTGGCCCTCAGCCGGGGTCGTCACCACAGGTCGGCGCGGAGGCACAGAGCGGAGGGCACCCAGGGGCCCATGGCGGGCGAGGTCCGGGCCGTTGGCTCAGCACCCTGCAGCCCCGCGGGCCCACCCGGCCCGCCTATGCCCTCACCTCCTCCTGCTCTTCCTCGCTGTCGTCGTCGCTCACCACCGGCTTGGCCCGGGACCCGCGGCTGGGCCTG